AAGAGGCAAAATTGAGCAAAATTATTGTTGATTTATGGAAAGCATGACAGTGCTCTAACAACCGTCGATGGGTGAAGACTTGATCGATGCATCCACGACTTAGGCAGAAAATTCTCATTAATATAGATTCGAACAACTTGGTAGCATTATTTACATCACTTATGTTTAGTTTTAGGTTCTAGGTTCGAGCCCCCAAACTCCGCTATCCACTGGTACAATGCAATAACCTATTGAGACCTGATGCTTAGTTTATTTTAATTTGTACAACTATCAACCATCCATCTCCGTGCGGCGGTTTCGGTTTTTGTCTTTAGGCTGCCCAGTAGAATGAAAGGGTAGAAAAATTGGAAAGTTGAGAGCAGAGCCAAAGAGTTAATAAGTTATTCCGGCAGCCTAAGGTTGCAACTAAACCGAGAGGATGCACCAGCACCACCGTTTATCACACTCGGTTATATCACTCGTTGTCTCTAACCACCCGAAGTCCCCATCCAGGGAGCCGAACGCAATCTACATCACTGAGTCTCCCAGTTAAAGGCGTTATCCTCTAATGCCGGGTTTTGGTTTAACCACCCTTGATTTTTTCCTTCTCCTACCTGCGTTGGCAAACGTCGCTTGCCGTGTCAGCCTATTTGATGATATACGTAACACATACCCCAATCAACGTAACTATGGCGGTCGACTGATTGTTCTAGTGGGCGACCGCGATCTTCTAAACCTGCACCTCATTTCGGCGCTGCTTGTCCGGTTTCCCCACCTAACTCGTGCAATACGGCGTAGACAACGTTGTTTGAACACCGATAGTCTATCTTCATCCTGCTTTCGTAATGGCCATGTCTTTATGCTGCATAGTAGCACCGACGGAAGCGCTACAGCAGGCATCTCCATTCTCGAAAGCCGGGAGTTTGCTGAAAGGTATTCTGTATTTTCCCCTCGATGTCTTTGAAGCCTTGCTGGTGTCTGGTGTTGACGTCGGGTACGTAACGACAAGATTCTTCGTCGTTTGTTTTGTGGTGATAATCATTCGCCGAAAGAGGAAATCGTGCTGCCTCGCTTCCAATCGCTCCATCATATTGTGCATATACCCACCCATCGTTTACCTCTGTGCTCTCTTCGCACTTGCTCATCAGACCAAAAACTTGAGTAGGGGCATGAAGAAGTTAACTGCAGCATTTGCTTTGACTAGTGCTGCTCGTCCTCCAGGTTTGGCCCAAGGAATGANCTTTGGTTAGAGACGCTTAAAGATACAATTCAGAATAGTAATCAGTGGTGCGAATGTTTACTTCCCGCCCGTTAAAATCTCCCACCCCAAAAAAGTGAGGGCAGGATTGACGAAACGGACCAAATCGTATTTTTGTACTTGTTGCCCTCTCTTTACATTTTTCATTGTGTTGACACCATTCGTGCTCCCTGGCCGATTTAATGTTTATATATGTCCTTTTCCTCACAAGCTGTACAGTCATCAAGCAAGTTCTGCAAGGTGACCTTGTTCTTAATTACACTTCAGTGTGATGCACAGTAGATTTGGCGAATCCTGTGGTAACGAGAACCTCTCGTTTGCATACGCTACTCGCTCGGTTTTTCTCTTTCTGTTTTAGGTTTTTGTCGCGGATCATCATCCGCCTCCGCCAGATGCTGTGCCAGATTTGATGAATGAATTAGTGAATTGGTTGAATGGAGACCAGTTGTCCGATGTACATCCGATAGAATTGGCCGCGCTGACGCATTGGAAATTGGTCTATATCCATCCATTCTATGACGGGAATGGACGCACGGCCAGGCTGTTAATGAATCTGATTTTGATGCGTGCTGGGTTACCACCTGCGATCATCAAGTTGGAGGACCGACAAGCCTATTATGAACATTTGAAAACCGCCAACGATGGAGATGTACGACCGTTTATCCGCTTCATCGGTACGCTTATTATCTTCCGTCGTACATCGGTTCGATCGATGCGGTTGTGTTGGTTGCTTTTTCATCTCCCTCCTGGCCTTGCAGGGCGTTTTGCAATGAAAGTTATCCGTGTGCATTCCACGCTCACTCTGCCGCGTGAAATGCAACTGCTTATTCGCATGGGATTACCCTACATATATGCGACGCGTAAAACTAGGTCTTCAATCAGCTGTCAGCACTTTTTAACACCAACCCAACAGCTAAATATAACAAAGAAAATAGAACCCTCAAATACCTAAATCGTTTGGGTTGTGCATGAGAGTAGCGGAGGTTTTGACTTGGTTATATGATAAATTTGTCGTGTAAATGATGCGTTAGCTAAAGGACAAGGAGCAATGGACAGCTGTTCCCACCTGGTTGGGTCTCATCAGCAGTGCGAGTGATTTCATCGACTCAGCTAAGGAGCAAATCTGGGATATCACGCTAGAACACTACCCACTCGACCACCGGGCGGCTGATCAAACTGTTTCTCATTTTGCTATTGCGCAATATAGCACAACCCATGTTTACCAGCTTAATTCCGGCATCATACCTCACGCATCATAGCACTAGCATTCGAGGTTATGACTCGGTTGGAAACTTTCACAGCCTGATTACATTTTGTATGGGAGTAGTGGAGGATTTAATTTGATGGCATTGATAAATTCGTCGTGTAAATAAAACGTGCTGAATTCGCACCACTGATGAAACCCGACTAGGTCAAAACAGCTGTCCAGTGGCTCCTAGCTTTTCAACTCGCGCCTGATTTACACGATGAATTCATCATATAATCGAATCAAATACTCCACTACTTTCATGCAACATGCAATGATGTTCCTACTGTTTTCAACCCTGGAGGCTAGTGCTGACATACGCGAGTTATTTCAAGCATCGACTAACTGTATAAGAGTGTAACACATGCAATTTTTACGACGCGGTGACAAAAAAGGAGAAAATATTTTGCTGTTTTGGGGAGTTTTAATTTTATACGTTTGTTCTGCTGGGTTCTCTGACATCAACAATCTACCTGGCATGCCAAACGTAATCTCGGCTTCTGTCATAACCAGCGTGAATCCATCACCCCTGTTATGCTCATGGGGACGATTACCATTGTTGATTGCCGCTTTTATGTCTTTCTTTTATTGATGCGACACTGAAGCTACCATTGTAATAACGTACCATACCGGATACATAAGCAGATTGTCGCTGTCAAAGCTCGTCTTCGTGTCAGCGACACGCTTGATCTACCGACGCATTCATATCCAAAATGCTAATAACCAATGATAGAAAAATTTGTTCAAATATTCTTTTTTCGGCTTGTAACTCGTGAAATACCAAATGTTCGTAAAGAGACCTAGTTCAATTCAAATCGAGTGCAAGCTCGATAAATTAGAACACCAATTTCCGCAATCATCACGGACGAACGGCTATATAACATTTTGTCTCTAACTGAATCATCAAACGGTTCATTTATTTCATTAGTGTGTTCTTGGCGCTTCCCTCAACAGGACATATACATTGTGATTCTCTCTCTCTCTCTCTCGCATTAAAGCCAGTTGCACCGAACGCACAATAGACGAATACCTCGCTGCAGCTGAGCCACACAGAATCGAACCGAAAACAGAACAGTTGTCCAATCCACCCCCGATCATAAAAGCCCAATCGGACGAATCCTATTCCCTCGGCTGGTCCGCATGGCCATTTGCCTTGTCCCCTATTGTTATACAAGAACCAAAGCCCATCGGTTCCTCTCGACATCCCAGACGTTCGTCGGAACGGATGGATCTGGTTGAACTACCGCAAGTTATCTATCTGAATGGTTAAAAGCCGTACAATCNACTGGCCTAGGTCTGTGTTTTTGCTCATCGACTCCGCTCTTCCTTGTTATAGCCCCTTCCCCCGCTATCTTTTCCCTTCAAACTCCACTGATGCCCACTTGGTCTTTCAATCAGATTATGAACATCTTCCCTGGTTAACTTGTTTGTTTGTTTCTTCACGAGTTTCTGGGATACATCATGTATTGCTGTGCAATTCCGTCAGAATATTCACACACACACACACACACACACACACACACACG